TTGTACTGGGTCTGGCTGAACTGGAATTGGTTTTCCCCTACAGCAGCCCTCACGGTGCTGTGTTTTATGTCGGGAGCTGGCAGGGTGTTGGTAGCACCCTGGTGTTGTGGCTGCTGCTGAGCAGGGCTTACACAGCACCAAGGCTCTTTCTGATGTTTCCCCCAGTGGGACGGGGTGGGCAAGATCTTGGGAGGGGACACAGCCAGGACAGCTGACCCAAACCGACCAAAGGGATATTCCATCCCATATGACGTTTGCTCAGTATAAAGCTGGGAGAAAGGAGGAAGGGGGTGGGGTCACCCTTGGTCCTCCGAGGCAACCACTATGAGTATTGGAGCCCTGCTCCTGAGAAGGCCCCACAGCGGCTGTCCGTGGGAAGTAGAGACTAAATCTGTTTGCTTTTGCTTCCACGCGCGGACTTTTGCTTTGCCTTGTTTATATTAAAACTGCTTTTGTTTCACCCACAAGGGTTGGTTTATCTTCTTTCCCCTCTTTACCCTATTGAGAAAACAAGGGGAAAGGAGCAGGGGGGGAAGTGATAGAGCGACTTGGTGGATACCTGGCATTTAGCCAGAGTCAAACCATCACAACCATCTTGGATTTTTTGATCTTTTTTTTTCTTTTTGTCTGACTGTATTTTCTTTTTTCTTATCTCAGGTGATTTGATATATGACAAAATGGATAGTGATGGATGTAGATTTTATGCCATCTGTAGTTCAAAGTGTACAATTGAGCGACACTCTGTACACTGTAACTTTACTACTCCTGTAACCACTACTTCCCCTGGATCGTCTACTGTAACTACAGCAGTTCCTCTGCCTAGCAGTACTACCAGTGTTCCCTCTCCTGGTTGTGTTTCTCCTACTTACCCTCCTTTACAGGTATGTAGTTTCTGTGTTATTTATTATTGTTGAAATAACAGAATTTTAGTTTGATACCAGAAAAGAACATTTTGGAGTCTTTAAACCTTCTATATGCAGATTGCCAATACATGTGTTGATAGTTATAGGCAACATACATAAAGTTTGCATGTGCCTTTGTATAATTTTTTTTCATACTGAAAAAGCAATCTACAATAATCTTTTCTAATTATTTCAGTGCTAGTGAAACATTTTCTGATGCACTGTTCTGCATAAATAACAAACCTTCCTATTGATACAATGAATGAAGTTTTCTTCTGCTTTTTGTTTCTTCACTAAATTTTTTTTTTTTTTTTTTTTTTTTTAATAATGATTGCCTGTGCTGATAGTGATGTACAGAATACGTAGCTAGTATAAAGGACATCAGTTCCCTTAACCTATGACTTATCCCTCAAACCTCAGAAGAACCTCTCATGAAGAAGCAACAGCTGCAACTAATGTTTCCACCTCCTTTTAGGATAAAAAAATCCATATTGTCAAGCTTGTACTACCAGTGAAGTTTCTCATTTTAGTCTTTGCTTTAGATTTGGAAAACAAACCATCTTCTGATCCTTCATATCATTGTCAGAATTATGAATACCTCTGGTCAACATTAGAAACCATTAGTACCACAGATTGAAGAGAATTAACACATATTAAACTCCTTTCCAACGTCACCATTACTGGAAACAATACATCATCACACTAAGGATATAAGTAAAGTTCATATCTGTTTGCAAATTCCTGTGACGGCAATTTTTGTTCATTTTACAGCCTGGACAAAGTCACAGATTATCCAACTGTACAGAAGTCATCTGTAAGGGAGACAACAAGGTAGATGTAGTTCCAGTGCGCTGTCCACCTGTAAAGGAAATTACCTGTGCAAACAAATATCCAGCTATACTGGTACCTGATGAAGATGGCTGCTGTTACCACTATGAGTGTCAATGTAAGCACTGGTAGTTTAAGGAATAACCTTTTTAAAAAAAAACACAATACTTTGCACAGATTATATGAGCATTTTCTTTTCTTAGGGCTGCTCTATATATTGTAGTATATTTGCTTCAGTTTTAAATTCTTTCTTCTACATTAATTTTCATGTTGATATTCTAAATGTTTTCTCTAAATATTTACCAGGTGTGTGCAGTGGATGGGGTGATCCTCACTATATTACTTTCGATGGAACCTACTACACTTTCCTTGAAAACTGCACTTATGTCCTGGTGAAACAGATTATACCTAAATATGACAACTTCCGTGTTTACATTGACAATTACTACTGCGATGCAAGAGATGGACTTTCCTGTCCTAAATCCATTATTATTTTCTACAAATCTGCAGAAGTTGTGCTGACCCGTGAACTCATGAATGGTGTGATGACCAACGTGGTAAAATACACATTTTTTATTTCTCTATTTTTCGCAAAAAAGAAAGAAGGTCCATAGGATTTCCCTGATTCTCATTTGAAATACAGTCTGTTAGAATATATTATCATGGCAGTGTGAGGGCAGTAGGTATCATTAGGTAAAAATAATTATACCAGTTTCTAAGAACAAAATGTCAGAAACAGCTTAGGACTATGCAGATATGAATATATTATGTGCATGTATATGTGTATATAAAACCACTAGGAAACAGACTAATAGAGCTGATGAAGAGGGAAGTCAGAAAGAATGTTTACTCTGGTGCTTGATTCATGTTTCATGAAAACTAGTACATTGTGCTATTCACATGTAAACAAAGACATTATGCAGAAACACAAATTCGTATCACAGGTGTGATTCTCATGGTGAAGATGGGTATGGTCCCTCCGCACAGGGAACTTCAGGCACCAAACTGAGCCATGACATGATTCCCCCTCCAATTCCCTGCTGGAAAGAGAGGCATAGGTGAAGAATCAGGTGACTGGGAGTGTCACTTCACCTTCATGATCCTAAACACTGTCAAGCCAGTGAAAACAAGTCAGTCCCACTGTGACGCTCAAGAATCTATTAGCTGATTAGAGAACACAAAGAGGTGGAATGAAGAGTTTGTTCAATATGCACTTTCACCCTACAGAGCCATGCCAAGTTCTTACCTGCAGACAGAAAAGCATGCTGAAACAATTAGTCCAGTGATTCCATATGAAAGGAAACAGTAACTGTTTTAACTCTTTGAAGTTTTAACTCTTAACTTCATCCCAATTCAATGAGAAGAAAGTAGCAGAATCGTTCCTGACAAAAAGTTATGGAGCAAACATGTACAATTTCATAAGATACAGGATGCAAATTGAATAGCTTAGATTAATGAATAAATTTGACTGCTGCATAAAACTGGTACCAGAGACATCTGACTTCATTTTGAATTCAGACAACTCTTCCAGTGCCAAGCAACATGTAGTATAGGCACGGTGTGATTTTGCAGCAAAGTTATTACATAATAACAGCAGGAATATTTCTGTAGTTAAACAAAGCTGCCACTCATTTTCATATGAAAAAATGTTTACAGTAAACAAAATGATGAGGGATACAAAGAAAATACTTGAACTCAGAATGCTGTGCATTAGCACACACTGCACAAATACAGTACATAGAAGACATTTAGATTATTATCACACTATAGCAATATAGTAATACAAGCTGAGATATTAATGCATATATATGCTGTTATTGAGATGCCAGTGGGAACTGGATGTGATGCACAACAATGTGGAGCTATGCATGATTATGAAGATTAGAAAATACTTTATTTAAAACAATCAGGCAGAATTATACTGAAGTTGTTGTTTGTTTTTTGTTTGGTTTTGTTGGTTTTTTTTTTAACCCTGCATTCAGATGTACTTCAATCAAAAGATTGTCAAACCAGGCTTCAAAAAAGATGGCATTTATTTCTCCAGTCTTGGCATCAACATGATTGTTGAAATACCAGAGATTGGTGCAACCATCACCTTTAGCGGGCTGATTTTCTCTGTGAAACTGCCATTCAGCAAATTTGGCAACAACACCGAAGGACAGTGTGGTAAGACAGATGCACTAATTGGAGGTGGAACTCTTTCTCCACCCTACTGTGGATATTCTCACCCACTCTGGCTAGGCATGATTAACAGAAATTTTTAAAGAGCAGTAAAATGGAACTGAAAAACAGTTCTGCTCTTCAACTTCTGTAGGATCAAAAGATCAATATTTCATCAACTTGTTTTTTTTCTTTGGGGCTTGGGTTTTATGTTTGTATCTTTTTCCCTAACCAAAACTAAAGTCATATAACGTTATATGAAGCAACACACCTTATACATTTCATGAGTACATCACAATCAAACATCTAAATGTATTGTGCATCTCTGACGTGGTTTATGAGACTTGCACGGCTTGTCTTTTCCAGGAACATGTACAAACAATCAATCAGATGAATGTCGCTTACCAAGTGGTAAGATCATTTCTTCCTGTCCCCAAATGGCTCATCACTGGATCGTTGGCAATGACACATCATGCCATGGAGTACCAGTACCACCAAGTGTAACCACACCTCCACCAAAGCCTCACTGTGAAACACCTGAACTCTGCAAGCTTATCTGGAGCAAGTAAGAAAAAAACCTGAATTAATTCACTCTCTAGACAAAACGATTTCAGTGTCTTACAAGAAGAATAAGAACCATAGCCTTAGCATGTGATAATAGCTGAAAATGTCAGCTTAATGACAGGATGTATATAGTGAAAAGCCTTTGCAAAAGAGACTGCTCTTCTTTAATGACTTATACCAAAAGATAACTGAGCAAGGAGAGGTCAAGACAGAAAATAGGGGATGCAGCAAGCAATAGAATCCATGCTCCCTGGGTTGCAGCCACACAGATTTATGTTATCTTTCTCCCTACCAGGGTACACTTACTTGCTTGTAGTTACTTTAGCTCACAGCTATTGTATGTGCAATTTTTTCTCCTTTTTTTCCCCTTTTTTCTCAATCTGATAGAGATGTCTTTTTCATGAAATTGCTGGTGTCAGACTGATGAAAATTTGTGTACGCATATAGAAACACTATGACTGTTAGCCTCTCTAGAAAAATAGTGGAGCTTCAGGTTTCCTAATCTTTCCTTTACTGAATCTATCTCCCAGGTTATTGGCCATTCTTAGGGTTTTATTTCTTGTAATACATTCCTTCCTGAAGTAGAGAGTCACATGCCATTAGTTGGGAAATGCTGTCTGACAGGAATAAATGTTATATAATGATTGGTTAACATAAAAGGGGTTTGATTACTTTTCTGTCTGCAGGGTTTTTGCAGAATGCCATGCTGTGATACCACCAGAACCATTTTTCAAAGGCTGTGTTTTTGATGGATGTCGCATAGATGATGAATCCATGCAGTGCTCCAGTTTGGAGATATATGCTACAGAGTGTGCTGCTAGAGGTGTTTGCATTGACTGGAGAGGAAAGACCAACAACATATGTCGTAAGTACTGCAGAACTCAAAAATGTGTGTAAAAAATGGTAGTAATTAGTGTTTTATTCTGTAAACACATTTTACATCTAACATTTGACAACTGCCTACAAAAATACAGTGACATCCTTACTCACAGAAGCTGCAGATGAATAAGGCAAAGCTGTAGTCACTTTTGCTGCAAAAATGCATGTAAAGTCAATTTTTGATCTTTTTTTCTTCTTTTTTTCCATACAGCATACAACTGTCCAGCAAACACAATATATAAGCCATGTGGGCCCATTAATCCTGCTGTCTGTGACCCAAGGTATGGAAAGACCAAAAAACCAACCTCAAAATACCTGTTTATATTTTGTGTTTTTTCTATTTTTACCTATCTACTTTCCTTAGAAAATTGAGTTACTTCATAATGAAATGTCTTGTGAACTTTGATAATTTAATCAAGATTTATAAGTATCAATCAGCTCTATGAATATGCTCTTCCTGTTGCACTTCTGAAAATGTGAATTATTTTTTTTACCTGACATTACAACCTTCTACATATGCTGCTCTTTCTCCTGGTTCACTGCAAAACCATTATACTCACATACATGCCTTCCTCCCACTCTAGCTCTATCGAGCTTCCTGGCTATGGAGTAACTGAAGGATGTTTCTGTCCTGAAGGAAAGACACTCCTCAGTGTAGGCAGCAACATCTGTGTCCCTGAATGCGGTAAGCCATCTGTAGCTGGCTTGGGGATTAAACAGAGATCAGGACTGATAGGAGGCCTGTGTTCTACTGCAATCTTCTACACAGTCAGATCACGGCCAAATCAACCTCTTCGAGCTCCTTTAGTCTTCCCATTTGAAAATTGAGTAATAATCAATATTGCCTTTTTTCCATCTTCCTTCCTTACATGAGACCTACGAAGATGGTAGAACTCTGTATTTCAGAAGTACTAGTCTGAATATTAATTTTCTTGTTAGTTTTATCTTCATGTTATTTGTATTTGAAACTGCACAAATTTACTTCTTTATGTCAGTTCTCAGTGGTGTTAACATCTTTTTTTTTTTTTTTTTCCAGTTTGTAGGGAACCAAATGGAGTATCCAGATTGGTGAGTATAACAGTCAATGTGGTTCCTCAAGTACAGACAAGTGAAGCACACAAAACCAACGTTTTGCTTAGGTTGGGGGAGATTTTAGTTTTTTTTCAAATATTCATTCCCTTTTAGTCTTAAAAATAATTATGAGTGCTGGAGCAGAAACCACATTAATCCCTAAGAAATTTAACAGTAAGTGATGGGATGCTCTTTCAATAACCATCACCTCACATACTGAAAAAAAAAGAAAAAAAAAAAAAGGGAGAAAAAAGAGATAGATGGTAGTAGTGGAACTTTGGCATATGTGCTTCTTTTACTTCCACAAATTTGGCTTGCTAAAGCTACTAAAGATGAAGGGACAGACAAATAGCAAATTTTGCGGGTTGCTGATAGTGTTAATTGTCTGCATTCTTAGTTCCTCAGCTGCCGTACAAATTATGGACATTTCTCTCTGTAACCTAATGTGCACATGAGTATGTTGTATGATAATGTCTTATTCAAAAATTTATGCAAAACTCCATCACATTTCCTTTAGATCTCTCGTACCCCTCATACTAACACTACTAATAAATAGAAAGTGGTAGCTGCGTGACCATGCTCAGAATCTTCAGTGGTCTCCAGTATCTTCCCCTAACTAGCTTCAGTTTGAGGATTTCTTATAATCTAAAAATACTAGAAATATGAAAGGCTGATGCAAGCAGGTATCACTTAAGTCAACTAGAAACAAATAGAATTATTTTGGTTTGAATCGATTTTTTTTTTCTTCCTTCTGTTTTCTTTTTCTTTTTTATATAGCCAGGAGAAAAGTGGACTAAAGATTGCCAGGAATGTTTCTGTGACAAAAATACTCTTAAAGTGCACTGTAAAAAACACGAATGTCCTGTGACACAGCAAGTATTTTGTGATGAACCAGGTTACAAGCCTGTTCAGGTACAGATACCAGAAGATCCATGCTGTAGCAGGACTGAGTGCTGTAAGTGCTGTTTTAGTTCTTTATCATGGGGGAACATACTATATTCCTTTTGGGGAATTCCAGCAATAATTTCTCATTCTTTTTAATACTTTGCATTGATTTCATAATGCTTTTCTCCCTCATCCCACTTCTTGGGACCCTCTTGCAGAGCATTTACTAGATGCCTGAAGATTTAAAGATTAAAAGATTTTACATAGATGGAGAAAAGTAACTGGAAATCTCCTATAATTTAGCATCGAAAGCCTTTAATGCAATCATCACCCTGAACCAATATTCAAAAACTATTTAAAGTGTTTTCAGTTTCAAAGACCAGTATATTAAAAAACTAACTTAAAAAAAAAAATCTCTTCAACTTTTAAATATTGCTCAAGAAAGTTCCCAAACCTCTGAGAGTTATCAGATTTCCCAACTGGGACAAATTTCTCTTTGGAAGTATCTCTTTGCAGTAATCACTGCTCTATTCATCTCAGACAATGCTTTGTTTTACAAAGGTTATGGAAATGCTCATTCACTTTAAAAATAGCTGGACAAATACACTGAATTAGTCATTATACTAGCTTGTGTAAACACCACCATATTTGCCACATGGCAAAACTTCTGAAGTTCATGCAAAACAAAATGACTTTAATTTAAAAATTTCTGAGTTTGTTATTTTCTACATTCTCTTACCTTAGGCTGCAACACTAGCCTCTGCCCTGATGTCAAGCCCCAGTGCTTAAAGGGACAGGACGTTGTCACAATACTGCATCATGGAAAATGCTGCCCTACCTTTGAATGCAGTGAGTACTTTGCACCTTCTTCATGTGTTATTCAAAGATCCATTTTGCTAAGTTTATGAATACAAAGACCTTAAAAGACAAAGATGCAAATTAACTGTGTTATAGTATTGGGCCAACAAAACATCATTTTTTTCACATACTTCTTCTTAAAACCTTTATGACACCATCATTTTTTCCTTCTTTACAGGACATGGCTGTGTAGTCAATGAAACCTACTATGCTGTAAGTACACGGAGTAACTCACTATAAAAATGTGCCTTTCACATAGGCACAACGCAATGTTTTTGAGACTCCTGTCATGGCCCATATTTTGCAGAAAGGCCCAAGATTATTAATTTTTTAATTGATGTAGGCATATCACCATCCTCTCTATGAGAAAAAGAATTTTCTGCTGTCCTTTCTGCATGAGCAGAATTTAATTCCAAAACGGATATTAACAACAGAAACTGCTTAAATAAAACAACCAAAATTGTATCTAAGGGTAGTTTAGCCCATACATAGTTCGGTTTTGTATTGTCTGTGATGTACATACACAAAGTAACTTGCTTTTACTGACTAATAATGGCTTTTTTTCTGACTTGCCCTAGCCTGGAGCTGTCGTTCCATCAGGCCCCTGTGAAGAATGCACCTGCTTTGAATCCTCTTCTTCAAGCCCTCACCATGCTACTGTCAAGTGCAAGCCTGTTATCTGTGACACATACTGCCCGGCGGTGAGTGCTATTTTGCTGTCAGTAATTCCAACCCCACTCAGCTCAAATATCCACCAATTAGGGTCAGTGTCCTGACTCAATGTTATTTCCTCTCTATTTCCTTCAAAACAGGGTTATAAATATACAAGGAAACCTGGACAATGCTGTGGCACGTGCAAGGCAGCGGCTTGTGTAGTGACTGTGGGAGGCAACATTACACGTGTGCTCCAAGTAACTATCCCTGTTTTAGTTCACTTTTGGTGGACTCTGCCAGTCTTTTCACTCTTTCCTCTCCTTGTCTCTGTCACATTTATTTACTTCATCTTTTCTCATCTTAGACAAATGCTTATTCAGGCAGGGAATAAACTGTCTCACACAGCTTAAAGAGTACCCTGAGCCATGAAACTCCAGTTCTAACTAAGACTTCTGGAATTAACTGTGATACTGAACAATTGGCTTTCAGAAATCAACGCAAAAAAATACATAAGGGAAAGCAACGGGCTCCTATTTGCCCTCAGCTCTGAAAATATAACACCCGTTTTGCTTAAAGGGTGATTTTATCTGTGGAGGCAGTCTTCTGCTCCAAACAGCCAATCTCAAGTTAGCTGAGGGCTTTAGGACAGGATGAGTCAGTGAAGCCAGCAGAAATTCTGCCATGTATCTGAATGGACCTACCCATAAATTGTGATGACAAAACAATTGAAACACAAATTAATCTTTCAAAATGAGTCCACATACTTATCCTATTCACACAAAAAGCATTTCCATATCCAGATAAAAACACAGCCTCTTCACTTGGTTAGTGAATAGGATGAGTAACTATCAGCTGACATTCAAGGAAATTGTTTGGAATAATCAAACTGCAGTATGCAGCAATGATAAGACACTAGGTGGAGATGTGCATTTCATTTTTATGTAAGATTTTTATTCACCTTAATTTTAACTCCTTTCAGGTTGGAGAATTCTGGAACGCACCTGGTGATAAGTGTACAACTTACACATGTGAAAAATATGATGACCAGTTCATTCAAGTCATGTTGCAAAAAAGCTGTCCTGCATTTAACGCTGATGACTGTGATCCAGTAAGTACTCTTCTAACAGTGCTCATGTTTGAAAAGCTTGCCATGGCTAACATCAATGATAGAAGGATCATAGTGTCCAAAGAAAATACCTAGCAGAAGCATCACACCCGATGTATTTCTCACTTTATCCTCTCTGAATCTGAGCGCTATCAAATTTAATTTCAGTAAAACAAATCAAAATTAAAATGGGTGATACATCAATCGTCATTCAGGATTGTGCACTAGAAAAAAGAGTTCAGCATAATGTTTTGGATTCCTAAAAGTGTGAGATGACCTAAAAGCAAGAATCTTATCGAAAAATAATGGGATTTTTATTCCTAAATTATTTAAGAATATAGATTAATTTTAGAATTCATTTATTGAGAGAAAAGGTGAAGGAAAATAAGCTACTTCAGTTCACAACATTATTCAACTTAATACAGCCCAGGGTAGATTAGAACCAGCCCCACACACCTGGGAAGTCAATTATTTCATTAATTGTGTTACCCTGTCTGACATAATCCTTCACTGTACTGACCTTGGCCACTCAAAATATCCCACATGCACTACAAGCTTTATTTATGAAATTTTGCTACTGAACTCTGATGGCAGCAAAGCAGTCCCAAACCCTCTCAATGTCAGCTTTCAAGGAATTCTTATTAATATTGAATTGAAGTAGTTAAGTGCCCTTAATATTTAGCCTTGCTTGAAATTAGATTTCATGTCAATACAAAAAACTTCCTGGTGTCAGAGAAATTTAGGAAGCAGGGATATGCTTCTTAAGGGATATGCTAATTTTCAGCTTTGCAGATATGAAACCTAAGTTATCTTTTTCTGCTCTCTCACTCAAGGATGACATCAAACTATCTGATGATGGCTGCTGTAAAGAGTGCCGGAAACTTCCCAAGAGTAAGTAATGATAATATGTGCCTTTTAGGTATATTAGTCCATACGTAGACAGAAGAGGTGAACAGGCCAAGTTTGGGACCACTGCCTCACACTGGGGAGAGAAAGGAACAGGTGGAAACAGAAAGGAACGGAACATTTCCAGCACTCCCTTTAGGGCCTTGAAAAACATAGATATGGTGATGTTTCTTATCACCTACTGTTAAATGTTGGCCTTTTGTGGGAGAGAGAGGACTATGACTATTCTCCATAGATAAATTCTCCTCGAGGAGGAAACAGAAGCCAGTCCTGGGATGTGAGTGTGCACTGAGCAGTTGCCACAGTACTGCTCTTTATTTCTGCATCCTGCACCAAAGTTGCATAAGCAGAAGGGCATTTTTCATTCATTGATAACACAAGAAGCAAGAGACATCATTTGGCCCTTAGCAATTAAAAGATAAATGCCCTGTGACCTAATTTCCTATTTCAGCTCCATTATCTCAAATTTCTACTACAAACTCTCATATTTATATGCATATATATTTTAACCTGTTTTCTCAGGTTGTATGAGGCACAATACTACTACTGTCATCAAACATAATGGATGTGTATCTCCTGCACCTGTTGAGATGACATACTGCGAAGGCAGCTGTGATGCTTATGCACGGTAAGTGGTATAAACGACAATTGTGGCCTTTTGTCTTCTACTGTTTACACCAGTTACATAAAGCAAATCACAAATGGTTTTCTAGCATGTCCAACATCCACTCAGTCATCAGTGGTTTCTATTGTGTTAACTAGAGTTTTTAACATAGACGATGTTGTACTAGCTTAATTGCGTAGAGACTCACACAGTTTTAACAGCCTGTTCAGTGTCATAGTGAACAGACCTGAGTCTTGACTTTGACCATGTGAAAGTGAGGTTGTTTTTCACTATTCTCTCATTTTTGACTGGCTTAATATGGATCAATTAATTTACTTTTTCTATGCCCTAACGAAGAGAAAGGTCTATCCATTTTTACAGCGAGGAGCAGCTTAGTAATATTTCACCACAATAATCAAAAATTAGTATTACTGAGCAATAGTCCCACATGCAAACACAACTTCTGGTTATATTTAGTAATGGGTGGGAGAGGCGGTGGTATTTCTCATATAATTTCTGAATATTTCTCTTTTGTTGGTTTTGCAATCAGATATTCTCCAGAGGCAAACACAATGGAACATAAATGCTCGTGTTGTCAGGAGATGAAAACCAGCCAAAGAAAGGTGACTCTGACATGCAGTGATGGAACCTACCTTGATCACTCATACACCTATGTGGAGAAATGCAGCTGTGTGAGTGCTGACTGCATTCCCCAAGACAGTCTTCAACAGACAATAAAAGGGATAAAGACCTCTCAGGAACAAGTGAATGTCAAAAACTGGAACTAGAGAGAAGTCGTCAAACAAGGGTTGAACAAAAAAAAAAAACCCAAAAAAAAAAAAAAAAAAAAAAAAAAAACCAACAAAAAAACTTTGAAAAAATACAAAAATGTCAAAAGCAGCTAAGATTTTGGATGAACAGGTGATATTTCCTGCATACAAACTCAATATGTCTGTCTATTATTTCCGTTTTCATTATCAATATATCTCTCATTGTTTTTCATACCTTTTGTTTCACACCTTGAGAAGTACAGCATAAAGTCATTTTGACTCTCTGTTTCTTTATTTTTCTTTTTGCATTAAGGGAAACTTAGACTGCAGAAAGCCATACCTTCTCAAAACGATAAACTTCAATGTTTTGAATAATTTATGATGGGTGTATTTCCTTGTATATTCTTGTGAGAAAAAGAAAGAAAACCCATCATGAGAAGCTGCTGCACACTTCTTTGTTTACATAACACCATCAGCATAGTAACTGTATGAAAATATGGAAATATTTTTTGTTTGTGGTTAACTGTTTACAGAAGAAGTATATATATATTTTTGCCAACAAGGGCATATGAAGGTTTTTTGTAAACAAAAGTTAATAATAATAATAATAGTAATAATAATAATAATAATATATGTAAATTCTTTCCTATGAAGGTTTAAAAAGTTGAAACATTGCTATTTATTTTGTTTTTGGAAAAATGATTTATTGGGTCATTTCTTTCAGAATTAATATTACCCCATTTCTTAGTCTTAGTCATATTATCTGGGTGTGGTATACTTTCTTCTTCTATTTTGTTTTGGAATATTATTTTATTTTTGTTCCTTACGAAAATAGTAATGATTATTAATAAATTTTAAGCATTTTACAGCACGACTCCTTTGATTTTTTACTGAATCCCTCACATGAGAGCTGCTGACCCTGTAAATACTTGCTTCCCATCCTACTACAGCCATTTCTCAATAGCTCCAGGTCAAAAGTCAAGCTAGACTGTGGTACCCAACCCCCTGCAGAGATTTGATACTTCTTTGAATGAAGGGCATTCACAAGCAAATACTGGAAGTGTTCCCAGCACATCACTTTAGATGCTATCAATTAGTGGGCTTCCAGTAAGCAAGCATACCTTTGAGTCTATACATATTTTGTAGCTCTGAAAGTTCTTTAACTGACAGATAGAAATTATCCAAAGTATTCCAAACCAGTCAGTCTCATATTTTAGAGTCCACTGCAACATACATAAATCTAAAACCTGAAATTGCACTGTTGTAAATCTGCAGGTTTTGACAGGTTACTGTTCAGCTTTAGTTATGTTATACTTGAACAAGTCACCACAGATCTGACTGTAGATTGTATAAATTGCCAAGCAACATGTTTTACACAATTTACAAATGCCTTCTTTAGGATCAGCAGGAGAAACAGTGTGGTGGTTTAGACCCTGCTGGGATCGGAGACCACGTTGTCGTTGTCCCTCCCGCACCCTTAAACTGAGTAGGGCACAAACCCTGGGGTTGAAATAAGGTCAAATTTAATACAACAGCTTAATAAATAACAATCTGAACAACAACAATAGCAATAATAACAACAATAAACAGTAATAGCAGTAAATAAGACAAAAGATATACAGAGAAATACCACAATGGACACAGCCAGCCAGCGCATGCTTCCCAGGACAAAAGCCACAAAGGAAAGCTTCCCGCACTGCTGCGCCAGACCTGACGTCAGCATGGTATGAATAATCCGGCTGGAGATCCCTTCCCCCTGCTGGGGAAATTAAACGCTATCCTAGCGGAACCAGGACAAACAGTGAAAAATTAAAGGTGATGACCTTTCTCCTAGCCTACAGTTTGGACAGCTCAGTAAAGGGAGTAGCAACACAACAACATCATCTTTGTGTGGGTGTCCTGCAGCAGCTTAGGCTGCTTTTTCACCTGTTTTTCTTTCACAGAACAATAACAAGCAATATACTTTCCCACTCAGAGTTGAGCATTGAGTTCAACTGAGGATCACTAGTAATGTCATACTTCTTGTTGGCAAAAATCCCTACCTCCTCCCTGCTTCCTGTTGACAAATTGGTATTCCACTCTCTAGTTTTTCCAGTCCTTAGGCTCTTCTACTTCCCAGTGGGGCCCCAGGTGACATACTGGTCTGTTCTCTCCTTTCTGCTTAACACAGTAGGCTTCCCAGTTCGCAACTACTACTAAATTCATGATGGGTCCAGCAAATGACAGATTCTCTGGCCTTCCCAGGCAAGCTAGGAAATGATTCTTCTCCCACTCATTCTGCAGAACGGAAAATAGATTGTTTATAATACAAAATCAGTTATTATGCACTATTTTGGTCCAGAACAGCTCCTTGTCCACAGTTAGCCCAGTGAAATATCAGATTCCCTGCATGTTGCTTCAGGATCATTGTTATTTTTCCATGCAAACCCTGTATCTCAACATCCCAGCAGCTACCCTCTTTCCTGGAAAACTCTGTGTGTATTGTCTGTACCACTAGCTACTTCATACAACTTACTGAAAGTGGAAAAACTAATATGATGAGGAAGAAGGGAACTGAGAGATGCATAATAGCTGAGCAGCGCTACAGTCTTGGGGAGGAGTGGGTGGAGAGCTGCCAGTCAGAAAGGGACCTGAGGGTGTTCACTGACAGACGGCTGAACAGGAGATAGCAGTGTGCCCAGCTGGCCGAGAAGGCCAATGGCATCCTGGCTTGTGTCAGAAATAGCGTGGCCAGCAGGGACAGGGAAGGGATCTGACCCCTGTGCTCGGCACTGGTGAGGCTGCACCTCAATGAATGGGTTCAGCTGTGGGTCTCTCACTCCAAAAAGGCCATTGAATGACTCCAGCGTGTCCAGAGAGTGGCAACAAAGCTGGTGAAGGGCCTGAAGAACATGTCATACGAGGAATGGCTGAGGGAACTGGGGGGGTTTAGTCTGGAGAAGAGGAGGCTGAGGGGAGACCTCATTGCCCTCTACAGCTCCCTGAAAGGAGGGTGCAGAGAGCTGGGGATGAGCCTCTTTAACCAACTAGTAAGTGATAGGACAAGGGGTAATGGCCTCAAATTGTGCCAGGGAAGGTTTAGACTAGATAGTATTAAGTGTTTCTGTGCAGAAGTGGTTGTTGGGCATTGGAATGGGCTGCCCAGGGAGGTGGTGGAGTCCCCATCCCTGGAGGGGTTTAAGAGTTGTGTCGACATAGCGCTGAGGGATCTGGTGTAGTTGGGAGCTGTTAATGTTGGGTTGATGGTTGGACTGGATGATCTCCAAGGTCTTTTCCAACATAGACAATTCTGTGATATCTGGCATGTGGGAAGACTGAGAGGTCATAACAACAGGGTCAGCAGAGGCCAAAACTAACCTAGAGTTTGGTGGCATAACAACTAAAAAAAGAAAGCAAAGAAATTGACAGACTTTGGTCCTAGCAAGGGGAGATAAGGAGAAAAGGAAAGAAGGAAGGGAAACATAACCCAAGGCAAACCACAGATGCATGCTGAGGATGTACTGGAGACCCTGCCTTGAAGAGTAAGGATCTGTATCACAGATACAGTCCCAGTGCTGGGAAAGAGCAAGTAGAAATCCTCAGTTCAAGAGAAGAACAGGGGACAACATGTTTTGGGCAT